AATGACTGAACACTCCCTCTCACCTCTTTAAAGTTGTGTTTCACTAACAGGCTCGTGGACAAACCGTATCAGACACAAATTATTATTCAAAACAGAGAATTTTTATGTCTGAAGGGTGGATGTTTTAACAGAGTCGCCATGGGCAGAAAACTGACAGATAAAATCGATGGTGTGACGAATACAACCTCGGTCATCACAGGCCTCAACTTGCGAGTGTGACCTGCTCATGTTTTGTTCACTTGTGTTCCATATGCTGTGGGGACCGGCCTCCCCTTTAGGACTCAGAAAGCAAGTTTCCACTTTGTCCCATTTGCTTCAAGGTTTGGTTTCGGTAAGTAGAAGTTATGGTTTGCTCAGGGAAGGTTATGAACATCTATGTAAAGTTTACTAAAGGGATGGAAATACAACTGTGCATGTGCGTGCATAAAATTGGAGTTTACAGTTTGGTAGTGAAGATTTCTGCTGGACCTCACTGTGCTGTTTGAGTGTTGAGTCTGTTTTCAGAGGTGTGTAGGAGTTGGGGTTTGGGCGAAGGGCAACGGGCGAGGGACTGATTTAAATGAAGGCTGTCATGAACACAGAGAGGAAGCTGTATGTTGATTCTTTGGAGAACTAATTGACCAGGAGAGTGTAGAAAATAAGGACATTTTGTCTGGTCTTCAGTCTGGGACAGACATTGAAGGAGCTGGTTAAGGATTCAGACTTGGGTTCAGGTTAGAATCCGGTTTAGGTTGAGGCGAGGGTCGGGTTGGACTTGTTGTTGTGACAGTTGAAGCTGCAGTAGACAAAAAAAAACTCCAGTATTTAAAAACACAGCCAAGCATGGAGATCTGCATCACTTCAGACATGCATAATAGTCAGACTTCATCCAGGATTTAATCCTACAATGTTTGTTGTTCTCTATACAACCTCACCTGCTCTGGATAACCAGCGCTGTGATCGGCTCCCAGGTTTCTACAGCCTGACAAGAGCCAAGAGGAGCTGCAGAGGTCTGGTTTCCTGTCAGTTCCTGTCACTTGAATAACAACACGCTGAAAGGTTAGACGCCAAAAAACTACTGCAGTGTAAAAAGTCTGTTTGAGCAGAAGTTGAAGTAAAGAACTTCTTCAGATGAATCTCATTTATCTTCCTGCTCTGGTGATGACAGCTCACTTCTGGGGATTCCATCGATGTTAAAATACTCTTTGTTCCTTTAAAGTGATATTTTAGTTTCAGATAAAGTGTGAAGATTAGCTTTAGTACTTGTTAAGCATGAAGATTCACGCTTCTTTTCATGACTCTGCTGTAGCTCAGCTGCTCTTTTCTTCAAATAAGATACAGACGAATGAGAGAGAACGTTTAGAAAATCCTGTTTTACATGTTGC